TTGAACTCAGAAGGTGGAGATTGCGGTGAGCCGAGATTGCGCCACTGCACTCCAGCCTGGGCAATAGAACAAGACTCCATCTCAAAAAAAAAAAAAAAATGTTCTATAAGGTCAAAGGAAGAACCAGTGACTCAATCAGAATGCTTTCAGCTGTAACAGGAAACCTAGCAGGAAAGGGCTTTTAAAACCAGGGTTTCTCAATACATTTTATGTCATGATTTGTACCTCATTTGTTAATTTAGCATAGGTTAGACTGCCATGACAAATACACACGGTCACGAATGGCCAACAGTGGAATGGTGGTTTCCAGCTTGGCAGGCAATTTTCTTTATTCACGGACCCAGGCTCCTTCCCTCTTGTGGCTCTGTCATTTCCCCAGGGGCTTTTCCTGCATGTGTGTCCAGCCAGCCAAAGGGTCAAGGGCGTGGGAAGTGAGTACAGGAGGGTTTGCAGTTCGAGCCTGCAAATGGCGCACTTGCCTTGCCCTCACCACTCCCGGTCCATCCTCAGTCTTGTGGCCACGCCCAACCATGAAGGAGGCTGGAAAGTGTAGTCCTTGTGCTCAGGAACAAAAGGAAAAGGAAAGTTGGGAGCAGCTGATGGTGTCTACCACAGGCTCACGTGCAGGTGTAGCACAAACCAGTGGCCTTCCTGCAGGAGGTGCACACTATTTTCTATTCTGTTTGATTTCATCTTTTTTTAAAAAAATACTGGTGCTGCCAGGCACAATTATCGGGAGAACCCACTCCTGATGTTTAATGTGGGTTCTTTTCTATTTCCTAAGTGTCTCGGCTGGGTTGAGAAGTAAAGGGAAAGAGCACAAGAGAGAGAAATTTAAAGCTGGGTGTCCGGGGGAGACATCACATGTCAGCAGGATCCGTGATGTTCCCCGAGCTGTAAAACCAGCAAGTTTGTATTAGCGATTTTCTTTTCTTTTTTTTTTTTGAGACGGAGTCTCGCTCTGTCGCCCAGGCTGGAGTGCAGTGGCTGGATCTCAGCTCACTGCAAGCTCCACCTCCTGGGTTTACGCCATTC